ATAGCTAAAATCAATATTTAAGATTTTATTAAAAAAATTAAAATTTTAAAAAAGTTTGCAGGCAAATTTGCCTGCAAAATAAATTAAGAGATAGATTGCAAGTAATTAGTTAAGAAATATTAAATTTGTATTTATTATTGTGATAAATTAAAATATACTACTTTATTTTTATTTTATTTTTTTTTTTGGTATTAAGATAATCTCTTTGGTCTAGAAAACTTTTTATTAGAGTATAGATGAAGTGTTATATGTAATTATAATGATGGTGCATCAAGCCACACATACACCTTTTGAGTGCCTATTTAAGTAGTCTGCCCAAAGGTTCTACACTATTTGCTGTACCTGCACCCCAACTAGGGGAGTAACCATTTAAACCATCTGGTTCTAACTACCTCCATCAACCCTCTAACCTAATAGGTTTCCTCACTATTTATATGCTAGATTTTGGTATCACCCAATTTGGATTTCGTACTCTACCTTAGGACACTTGACTATCCTTGAGGTAAACCTAACATAGCAGTACATGTTCCACACATGTATTCACATGCTTATTCCTATAACTTCTTCCTAATTAGTACATATTGACCTGAAATGTACTACTTTATTTCTATACTTGATATTTACAAAAATAAAAAAAAACTTTGAGTAAAGATATCTTAGCAACTACCAAGTCAAATTTAATAAACTTTTTTTTGTTTCAATTCTATAATTTATAGATTTTTTTAAAAAAATAAATATCTTGTTATATTACTATACTATATATTACTTTGTAATAGCTTATTTTTATACAATAATATTAAATAAAATAAGTTATATTGTAATAAACTATTTAACTAAAAAAATAAAAATAAAAATTTATTAATACAAATATATTATAGTATAAAAAGCTAATAAATAAAAGTATTTTTTTTACTTTTTTTAAAAAAATAAAAATAAATAAAGAAGCATAAAACGAAATATAAAAAAAAATAAAAGAAAAATTTTACTAAAAAATAATTAAAATTATTTAAATAAAATATATAATTTTTAATTTAAAACAATATACTATAAAAAAATTGCACTTATAAAAGTTTGGTATATATTTGAACCAGAGTTAAAAATATGGTTAGTATTTAGAAAAGTTGTATTTAGAAGTCAAACTATATAAAATTATTTAATTATATATTTTAAAGTTGGCGCTTTTAAAATATTTTGCTATGAGTCCTGTAAAATTTTATATACTAACTATAATTTTTTTCAACGTGTAAAATATTGCTTTAAAGAATTCATTTACTAAATTTGATTTATTAATTACAAAATTTAAAATAATTTACAAATAAAAAAGTTTTATCCAAAAATTCCGTATAATTATTTAATAAGAATCTAGTACAAAACAAGATTTGATTTATAAAAGTTTTCTTTCAAAAACCTATAATGTTAATACTATCGTTATTATTTGTTTAAAGATATTGATTTTTGCAAATATATTGTACAAAATTTTTAAATTAAAAATATATTTAGCCGATAACGATAAATGGTGTATTGGCTGATCCTATGAACTTTACAAATTTATTAAATTTATTAGAAAACTTGCCAATTAAAAAAAAAAATAATAAATAAATAAATTTAGCTTTTGTAATACGGTATAAAATGTCATATACGTATAAGTATATATTTTAGTATAAATTAAGCTGTTTAGATAACACTGTTTTCAACCATAAGAATCAGATATTGTCACCCTACATATATATGCATAAGCCTTTTGTCGGAAATTGTTTCAAATGATTTTATCGTTATTCGTTATGGTATATCCTCTTTGTCCAAGAAACAAAACCAAATAACCACGTTAGGTGTCAAAATTTGTTGACAAGGCATATAAATAATTATTGGTTATATTTTAGTTATACCAATATAGTAAATGACCGATTATACGCGACATAACACTTTTTAACGTTAATGCAAAATACTATTTGTACTACATAATTCCTTCATAGTTTACAAACACTAACTAATTTAATACCCATTTTCACAGAAAGCAAGTATATGCGTGCTTAGATACTCTTTTTGAAAGAATTTTAACCGAAGTTCTCGCTATTTTCTCGATACTTTCTATATTTATTTTTGGATCTGATAGAAAAAAATTTATCTTTAATATGGAAATTCATATGTTATCGTTATTTATTGTGCTTGGGAATAGGTTTCAAGATTGTGGAACATTTGTTTATCTACCATTACATAATGTTCTGTGCGTCATCGGCATCGGTAATTATGACTGAACCAATCTTGTTCATAAGGTTGTGCGTATGTGAAAGAATTTTCTAAATAGATATTAGAATAATTATTGAACACATGAATTCATCGTGGTCACGACAATGAGAAATAAAATTGTATAATTTTCCTGGTTTTTACATGATTTAACCTATTTAAACATTTAGAAAGATTATAATCATTAATGACGCTATCTAATTCACAATAGCCTAGACAAACACCAATAAAATGCAAATTTTCAGCCTTATCTAAAAGTAGGGAAGTTAAGATTCGCTTTTAACAAATGAAATTAGTTATCAGCACCTTATTGTTTGTATTATAAATTTACTTCATATAGAATGTATGCTGTTAATCTGCATGTTGCAATGGTGAACAATGCTAGTGAAAGTCCTAGTGTTTACGGAGTCCTGGCATATATTTCGCCTCTTTTTGTTTCTTAATGTTTGTAATAATGCCCGTTAGACTAGCCATAATTTAAAAAAAATAAGTATTCGGAATGAGGTTGATCTTTTTTAAAGTAAAACATTTGGATAATGTTAAAATTATAGTATAAAATAAAATAACAATAGAGGAATAAAAAATCTAAAAATGTATAATGATTTCAATTTACGCCAACCAAACGAACCTATAGAAAGGTCAGTATTGCAGATTTTGAATGAACCGTCCGTGATAGACATTAATAGCTGATAAACCAATTTCTATTCGAAAAGCGGATAGTTCCTGCGAAGATATGAAGATATTATTTTTTGCTTTCCTAAAAAGTTGACTATCTTTCAGAGTTTATTAAAATCTAAATTTTTGTAAAGTTATATATATATATATTTATATATACTTAAATATTGGCACGGAATTGCGGAGCGATCTAATGTTCCGAAGGTCTTGATATACAAAAGAGCAGCCATAGCAAATATTCTTTCCAGGAAACTGCAAGAGATGATTACTAAAATTATCACAATTTGTGTAAAGATTACTTAGCCAATTTACGTAATTTGATTGACTAAGATGATAAATCGTTATTTTTATCGCGTTTACAGTAAAGTTTGAAAAAAGGTTATATTTATGCATAATATTGTATAAAGCTCGACATTAACCTTAGCTGTCAAGGTACTCCCGATTAGTTAATCCTTCCTCAGACATGTTAATCCTTCCTCAGACATGTTAATTACATACTCCCATATTAGCCATGCTTATGCAGTGCGACAATAGGGATGATTTTGTCTGGTCTGGTAAAGTAAGAAAAAAAAAAAAAATTATTACTACAATAACGCGAATTTTTATACAAATTGCTGACTTTTTCCGATTGAAATTTGTTTCAGTGATCTGATTAATTCAGTTCATACGATGCGATCAATTCTTTGATCCTTTTCGAAGATTGTGTCTTTTATCCTTTCCTTCTTATTACCAATATATATCCGATATAGACGATGGACGGTTTAAAAACCTAACATCATTCATCCTTTCCGTTTTTATTACCTTTTATTTTCGTTTTGGTTTGGTTGACAAATCGATAATTATTATGGATGGAACTGTATTCATGACGTCAAAAAGCTTTGCAACTTTGATGGTATGTTGACGACTTCCACCATTGACTTCTAAAAAATTTACATGCTAATGGTTTACATAATAAATATTTTAACATCATTTTTCATTTTTTTTTTTTTTTTTATGATTCCAATAGAATTAGGTTCTATTTCCGTCTTCTTCGACTCACTTTCTTATTATGATATCGGCATTATCGTTAAATGCATCAATCATTATAGAATACTTTCTATATCCTGTCCGTAAGCACAGAACATCTATATAGACTATCCAGCATACATTTGAAGATCTATGGAAATTATTGATCTCCCAAACGCTTAACTACTTGCGGTCAGGCTATGGTTTGTTAGCTTGAATTTAAAAATAGCGAATACGCTGACTTTTAAAAGTAAGTAAATCCCGGAAAACTTTTATTAGAAATTTCGATCTATTGGTTTCAAATTTAAAAAGAACCACGTACGACTTTCTTTTAATGCAGGTCGAATTTTATGTCAAACCAATCCATCAATTATTATAGAATTCTATCAGCCTATCATCTTTTCGCTTTCTTTCAATCGAAGGAATGGTTTTGTACTGGTTACTAATCATTTCTTAATAGTTGTCTTTTTACTCACTATAACTTGGGGAAAAATCGATTTAAATTTATATTCAGGGAGGATCTCATTCTTAACATAAGCTTTAAAAAAAACTCGGGCTAATCTTTTTTCGCAATGAAAGATTGCCATTATGCCATTAATATCTCTATTCCGTACCGGCCTTTTTATTTTTATTTCTATTTTCTTATATTTTATGATTTTTTATTCTAAAAAAAAAAAAAAAAAATCGTTATTAGTAAATCGTATACACTTTCTCTCGATTGTATTAGCTTTCCGGCTAAAGAAACCAAAAAAAAAAGTTCATACTTTAATAGAAACAAAACTTCCGATTCTTTTTCAAATTCGTTTTTATCATCCGGAATGCTATACTTGTAATATATTTATTTGTACTGTACATGAGGCTTTTGTAAGAACAGAATAAACTATATGCTTATAATTTTCCATGTCGTTAAATGAATATAATAACAAATATTTAAATGAATAATTGATTTACAATAACTCATTAACATTTTCCAAATCTCAAATATTACTACTATGCATGTAAAGATCAATGTCACGTTTTATTCTCGCTCCGAAAAATAATCTGTTTCGGTTAAGTATGATATCACATGAATGATATCAAAACATGACACATGACCTCATGACTGGTTTATCGCATTCGAGCTCTAGACAAGTACGTATAAAATTTCATTTAAGAGGTAACATGTGAAATTGGTCAAGATGAAAATAGATTAAAATTCTTGATGATTGAACCCCCAAAAGTTTAGTCAGCGGCACTCAATCTTAATTAGCATAGCGTGAAACCTTAATCTGTGTTGGAAAAAAATTTATTCAGGTACTAACAAGACAGAATGATAGATAGTAAAGATGCAATGTCTCATGATTTTCAACTAGCATTTAATCATGCAGTGCAAATGATAAATAGATTTTTGCTTTTGATCTCCTTTTTTGGCAAGAAAATACCTGTATATAATATATGAATTGGCCAAGGGCGTGGGATTATATAAATATGTCATAATGCACTTTTTCACATTAGGTTTTCGACACTACAGGGTCTAAATTATTACGTAACTTGATTACATAATCACTGCCATAAAATGCAAACCCTTTACATCGCTATCGTTATGCTTTCATGTTTGCTTTCAATAATGTTTTAATAACAAACCAGTACTATCATTATAGTACGTATGTATCCGGATAAGATAATGTCTAATAACAAATCAGTACTACGTATCTTTATACATATTATTATAAATGCGTATGTATCAGTATATCATAATGGATGACAAATTCTTCCTAATTCTTAAATCGCGTTCTGTCGTACAAACTTGCTCCCGAAAAATCTCCACGTGGACGAGTTCGCGAAAAAAAAACCAGAATTTCGTGAATATCATTCGCTATAACTTAAAGCTGCAATGATAGATTTTCACAAAAATGTATTTGTTCAATGAGCGTTTCCATTATTACATTTAGCATTTGATTGAATAAGGTCGCTAGTTGTTATTAAAACATGAAAAAAAACTTGTACTAGTTATCTTTTTCAGTATGAGCTCTTCGTCTATCATCTAAAAGATGCTTGTAATTTGAAAAATGGACTTCTATTAGCATTCAAAACAGGAATCCAAACACATATCAAGATGATTTTTGGAAGAATAGTAAGATATATAACTTTGTCTTCCTATATTCTTTGAATCTTCTATTATATTGTATTATAATATCGATATGTGCAATATTCATTCATTAATTTATTTGATAGAATACTTTAAAAAGAGTGGTAATGCATATGTCAAATTAGTAAATGGCGGAGCAGTTATACCATTTTGAAGTATTTCTTATATTTGTTGGATTCGTGAGAAAACGTTTAAAAAAATTTTTTTTTAAAAATATATAGTACATGCCGGTATGTATTTACATATAATAAATAACATATCTAAATTAGAAACTCATTTTTTAAGATTGATATTAAAGCTTTTTTTTTATTAAAGTAATCAATAGGTTTTACGTAGTTTTCTTGATTGTAAAGCTAATATCCTTTTTTTTTTTTGTTTACTTTGTTTAGAAATACGTCTAACAGTTGCTGATTTTTGTTGCTAGCAGTTTATTTTTTGTTATTATTAGCTTTTCGTTACTTATAATAAATTTGTTGATGCTAGGTTTTGTAGCTTTATAATTCTATATTTTGTCGCTTATATTAATTAGCCTTGCTATTGTTAGTTATGATATTTTAATTTGTTTAAAAATATAATAATTTTTTAAAATATGTAATATATATTTATTATAATATATTAAACAAATATTATAATTATTAATATGTAATATAATATATGGCGGCATCCATAATTTACGTTAAACTAATACTGTATTATATAGAAATCGATAATACCATCTGGTATTATTTTTGCATTATCTTTAAGATTTCTATAACAATACCGTTTTAACGTAAATTATGGATGCCGCCTAATCAGTGTTGGCTTGACCAGACCAGTTTGACTATTGGACCAGACCAATTTGACCGGTCTGGTCAAAGGATCTGTACTGGTCAAATTGGCCAAATAGTATATTTAATTTTTTTTTTTTTTTCCTTTGGTAACCACGTACTAAAGTTTATTAAATTTATAACGCTTAATACAAGGCCAAGCTATCTAATAGGTTTTTAGACTAAAAGCCAGCTGTTTCTAAAAGATGCCCAAACTTGGTTACTACACTGATATTGGCCACTATACCCCATGGACAGCACAGCACACTTAAAAATATAGTTTAGCCTGGGCTCAGCTCTCATCACATCAGGACCTCTTTTTCTTTTCAATTCTTCTTCTTCTCAAGGGGCATGAGATAAAAGAGGGAAAAATTTAAACAAAGAAACTATGAAAACAATTACAAAAAAGAAAAAACAAATAAAGAAAAGAAAAAATAAACACAGATTATGAACAAAAAAAATATAAAAAGAAATCTAAGACCCTAAGAGCACTATTATAACCCATGCAAGGTTAGTAAAAATTATATAACAAATGCAATATTTGTATATCCCTTCTGTAAAGCTTTACCTTAACATTAAATTTACTCTCTGACCTTCCCACTGACTTCAGATAGCTCTGTTTCCCATCCAATTCATATCTTAAGCCAGGTGCTGCTGTTGTTTAAGGACCTGTATCTCAAGCCACCTGTTTTTTGCTACCATAATTAAAGTTCCCAGGCTGAGTCCCATGAAGTAGCTCCATATCTGTTTGTAAATAAACATGTAGTTGCATTCTACTTGACTATCTGAATTTGGTAGTAAACAATGCTAATCTTTTGTGAGATAAGCCAAATTCCTACTTTTTGTTGAAAAATTTAGAAGAATAACAGGGAAGTGAAAAAAAGATAATAGGAACCACTTGGCCTAAATAAAGGAGTGCAACTTAAAAAGAGCCTGTTCTTTACTGTTTTCTAGTTGTTTTACAACTGATAGCTTCATCGACAGAAGGCTTGGACTTTTATCATCTCCACCTATCTACCAAAATTTTATATACAAAAGCTCTATCCTCTGCCAGTTATCTTGTATCTTAATGCTTTTGGTTTGTATGTTGAATATATAAAGGAGTCTCCCTAGCAAAGGTTGACCTTTATACCTTACTACAAGTTATTATAACTTTTCAATATAGAATATAGGCTTTTTTTTTATCAAAAAATTTAGTCCAATTAGTGTTCCAAGCTAATTAAGTTAGCTACTTAGCTAGCCACTTAGCCACTTAGCTAGCTGATAGTCTAATCAGCTAGCTAATAATGGC